AAGGGGCAACAGAAAGTGGGTGCCAGCCACGCAGCTCACAGGAGAAGCCAGGCCCACAGGCCCCAAAGGACCAGGACTGAGGCGCATTGCTCTCCCCAACATGCACCCACACCCCCTGGCCCCAGGGGCCCCTCTCCGCCGAGCTCCCTGCTGCGACTTGCACCCTGCACCCTGAGGCGGTTTGGCCACGTGGGGCTGAGGAGCTTCAGGGGCCACAGTCAAGGCCAAGGAGCTGCCGCCCTCCCGGCCTAGTTTAACTGAAACCTAAGTCTAGATGTGATGGCTGTCTTTGCTCTGGCTACCATATACCTCAGAAAAATTAAGACATTATCAACCTTATTCCTTTCTCCTAGTTCAGAAATGCTGTGCAACCAATGATACAGATCTAAAAATATTTCAAATTCTTTGGAGTTTTATTTAAATCATTATACCTGAGTATGAAGTAAAATACTGAGACTGCCGTGAAAGCTAGAGCATTTATGTCTCAATCTGTTAATGCAACCACCCTCTTCGGGCCTCGGGGAGCACAGTGGCCCCACTGCCCCAGGTGCCTCCCGGTGGGCCAGGCCCCACCCTGAGCTCTCCCAAGCCCAAGGGGCTCGAGTGCACCCCTGGGGAGAGGGGGGTCAGGAGCTGACCCAGGAGCAGGACGGCCAGGCCGTCACCACACACCCGGCAGGGGTGGCGCCCCCATGGGATGTCACCACCCTCCTCCCCTGACTGTCCTCCCTGGGCCGCAGGGAGGGTCCTGCCCGCTGCCTTCCTGGTCATCCATCACCTCCCGAGTGTCCCTGTGCAGTGCCCCCTCGCACTCACGCACACATCCACACGCACACACATCCACACGCACACACCCACACGCACACGCTCACACACACACATCCACACGCACATGCCCACACACACTCACACACACACACACACCATGCTCACACACATGCATCCACAAACATACATACATCCACACACATCCACACACATCCACATGCACACACATACATCCACAAACATACATGCATCCACACACATCCACACGCACACGGCACACACAGCTCACACACTCACCCAGGCGCACACCCGAGCCGACAGTGCCCTCTAGTGGCCGCTCTTGTCATTGCCCTAAAAGGTCCCCAGGAGCCTCATGGGAAACCAGGCTGCACAAAGCTGAAGGTCATTGTCTCCTTTCCCGGGAGGCATGTGACCTGGCCAAGGTCACACAGGAGGCGGGTGGGGGAGCCCTGCCCCCGACCCCTAAGCCAGTGCTCTCCCCCCCCGCTCCCCCCCCCACTCAGCCTGGGCGCTCACATCCCAGCTCCCAGGGCCCTGCCACA